AGCGAGTAATTGTACCAGCGAACAAAAACACTCGCAAGTATCGGGGGTTTGTATATTTGTGTATATTCCTGTATTTGGGTATCTTTTCTGCGCGCGCTTGTGCCTACGTGCGCGCCTGTGTGTGTGTGTAGCTATGCACACGCACACACACGTGTATACGTTAAACACGAATAGGTGTTGTGCGTGAGAATGCGCGCTTTTCTGTGTTCCTTTGCTCGTACGAGCGCCTGGTCGTGGACACTCTCCACCCCCATTATATATCTTAATGGGTTTACACCTCTACCCGATTTGTAGGCGAGTCAATGGGGGCCAGGTTGATGCATTAGCCCCGGGAAGACCAAGGCCATACGTCATCTACAATAGCCCTTAACGACTTGACGCACTATCAATGTGGCACTCCGCCTAACTAACAACCTTCCCACTCTCTCATTTTCCATTTGTATAACTCGCTTCGATGATATATAGGGCAAAACGATTTTTATAGGGTTTAGGGATATGTTGTCAGTTGCGCTTGAGATATGGTGTGTGTGTGTGTGTGTGTGTGTGTGTGTGTGTGTGTGTGTGTGTGTGTGTGTGTGTGTGTGTGTGTGTGTGTGTACTCACCTATTTGTGCTTGCGGGGGTTGAGCATTGGCTCTTTGGTCCCGCCTCTCAACTGTCAATCAACTGGTGTGTGTGTGTGTGTGTAACTGTATGGGACCCTACAACCCCTTATTGGGTGTAGGGTGAGCTTCAGCTGTCGGGACCCGCCTTTCTCGCCGTTGTTTGTCGCTGACTGTTATGGTTGCTGAACCTCTTCGTTCATGCCACACTCTTGAAAAAAAAATCAAAAAATTCTTGATTTTATCATCAAGAATCTCACCTTTCAACTCATAACACTTGTTCACTATACTCTCATGCAGAAGTGCTTCCGTGAACCCAAGCTATGCACAAAATACCTACACCTAAAATATACACACTAGAGATACACCTAAAATATACACATTATGGGTATACCTTAGATATACCCAAGAGGTACACCTTAGATATTCCACCCCCCGCCCCCTCCCCCCACCATTCCATTGGCCTCAAATGTGCTAATTGCGTTCTAGCGTCAATCTGACCTCTTTCCCACGCTATTTAAGTTCACTGTAACCAGGGCTCACACGATCCACCTTGTAAACAGGTTAATGACTCGTCACGAGCTGGACAATTTCTCAAGACTTATTTACTCCTTATAATGTGCAATTCATGCTTGGAACTTGGCTTGAAATAAATGTCAATCATTGGATTGCTGTCGAAGGCCTGTCAACAACGTATATAAGAAACCCACTACTGCTGTTCATAGATTATTGTGGTCAAGTTACCGGACAAAAATAGTTAAATAATAAATATGTCATTTAATATATGAATGTCTGTCCATTCGAGGTTAGACACTTGGAAACAGGATTGTTATATAGCAAGATTAATGGTGATTTTTATCTGAAGTACAATGGTTAGGGGGTGTCAGAGTCAGCCCAATGCTTCCCCTGAAGGGGGATTCAACCCCAAAGCCCTTCCATCACAAAGTCTGTGGATGTGAAATCTTCAGCGTCGAAGCCATAGACTTTATCATTTGCTACTGATCACACGCAAACTCTCACTCTAGTATTCTTGAAGATATCCTCACAGTGTACCCAAAATTTGCCAGTGACAGCTACTAAACATATGTCCCTGTATGACTAACCATCCTGCGAGATGGGGACTTTTATTACCACTGCTACCCTACTCTTGTGTTGATGATATCCTCAAAATGCTTCCGGAGTCTGCCAGTGCAGACTGCCTATCACATGCCTCTGTATGACTAACCATTCTGTGTGATGGGGATTTTTAGCACCACGTAGCTAGCTTTTTGACACACTGTACTCCCCTTCATATAGTCTACGGCAGCTGCACAAATGCATATGTACCTAAATGTGTTAATAAAAAATAAAAAATAAAAAAAAGTTCTAGGGCCCACTATTTTTTTATAGTGACGGTGATAATGAATAGGGAAATGGTTATAATTATTTTGGTGGGGGGGGGGGCTGGGAATGTGGAAGGGAGACTGGAGAGGGTGGTGTATGGAGACAAGGAGAGATGTGTAGCCAAGACCTGGGTACCGGGTCGACCCGGGCAATGCCGGGTACCCCATCGAATAATTATACAACATTAAATCCCGAATTATTAAACTTTTTCCAAAAATAAACAGTTATGTCGTTTGTCAAACACAAGTTAACTGCTCTACAGTGTCTAACAGTCACTTGCTACCACCACTGACGAAGATGTTAACACCACAGGACCCGTCCACCTACGACAGAAAACTATTTTATATATCTGACAAGATGGAGGAAATTAAGTGTTCTAAAAGGCATGCAGACGAGGAGTCACAATAACGTAGCTGAAATATGTTGACCAAACCACACACTAGAAAGTGAAGGGACGACGACGACGTTTCAGTCCGTCCTGGACCATTCTCACAATCGACTTGAGAATGGTCCAGGACGGACCGAAACATCGTCGTCCCTTCACTTTCTAGTGTGTGGTCTGGTCAACATAGTTCTATAGGACATAATTTACAAAGCCGTGACCCCTGGACAGAACCGTAAGCTCACCCCATACTACAAGATTCAGAACCCTGCCAGCGCGCGCCTCACAAACTCGCCTGCCGCACTCCTTGCAAGACACAAGTGTCATCTAGGCCTTTACATGTCCAAGTTGACGGCTGTCAACCCGAGTGCTCTCAATATACAGGCAAGACGACATTGCCCCCCCATCTTTCTACCCACTTGACGATGCACCAATAAGAAAGCTCCGTTAAAGGTCGCGCGATTTTTACTCATAACTAAGCCACCAGCAGAGAGAGATTGTGATCAGCTAAAAGCTAAATAATCGACTGATAGTGCAACACAAATGGTTTGGACATAACAGAATCCATTTACATCAGAAACACACACACATCCAATTATCAACAGACAATTTATATTCAACTTTATCTATTTTTCAGCAAGATCTAGAGATAACAGGGAGATTATACACTACTCGTGAGAATGCAGAATAAGATTACCTGTCTTGTTGACAAGATAACCACCTCTCCTTTCAACACAGCTGGAGGGACACTGTTATTATTTTGTATTCACCATCATCATTACAGTCAGGACCATTACAGGTGTAAAATGTCCTTTGGAGAGTTAATTTTTCAACTTTCTGCCGTAGTGAAGAACCTAAGACAGTAAATACAGTAAATTCATGTCAGTGTCATTGGCATAATTGAAGTCCTGTTCAATAACACATTATATATATATATATATATATATATATATATATATATATATATATATATATATATATATATATATATATATATATATATATATAATATATATATATATATAAATATATAAATATATATATATATATATATATATATATATATAAATATATATATATATATATATATATATATATATATATATATATATATATATATATATATATATATATATATATATATATATATATATATATAAATATATATATATATATATATATATATATATATATATATAAATATATATATATATATATATATATATATATATATATATATATATATATATATATATATATATATATAATATATATATATATATATGTGTACATGTTTGTGTGTATATGTATGTATGCGCAAATGTGTATGAACTCACGTTTTTTTAAACCTGCGTTCATGTGTAGAGAGAGAGAGAGAGAGAGAGAGAGAGAGAGAGAGAGAGAGAGAGAGAGAGAGAGAGAGAGAGAGAGAGAGAGAGAGAGAGAGAGAGTCTGTGTGATTGTGTGTACACCGAGCCTCACACACTGAGAGTTACACCGAGTAATGAGCAAGGCAAATTTACTCTCTCTCGCGTCTTCACCAATAAGAAAAGATAAACTTTCCAACTCGCGCCTCCTCCCTACTCCCCCCCTCTTTCTACTCCCCCTTATACCACCCCCCAAACCCCTCCCTAATCCCGCCCCCCCCCCCCACACACACACACACACTACTTCAACTGAAAGAAAATGGGGGGTGGAGGGAGGCAGCTCACGCAGCCGGAGGCAACACACCAAACATTTAGTCATATCCCTCCAAAATTAAAACCAAACACTGCAGTTGAAACACTGATCAGTTCCTCCTTTTCATCCAATATTTTCCAGTCGCGCTGTTGGTATGCGATCAATCTCTCATCAATCACAGACATACACGCTCTCCACCTGCCTGTGAGGGCGTCCTCGTTACCTTGGTGGGGAGGGTGCTTACCTGTGCTGGAGTGGGGGGGGGGGGAGGGTGTTGGAGTGCAGGGGGGGGGGTGTCGAGGTACTCACCTAGTTATGCTTGCGGGGATTGAGCTTTGGCTCTTTAGTCCGCCTCTCAACCGTCAATCAACTGGTGTACAGATTCCTGAGCATATTGGGCTCTATCATATCTACACTTGAAACTGTGTATGGAGTCAGCCTCCACCACATCACTTCCTAATGTATTCCATTTGTTAACTACTCTTACACTAAAAAAGTTCTTTCTAATGTCTCAATGGCTCATTTGGGTACTCAACTTCCACTTGTGTCCCCTAGTGCGCGTGCCCCTTGTGTTAAACCAACTGTCTTTGTTTACCCTATCAATTCCTCTAAGAATCTTGTATGTGGTGACTATGTCCTCCCTAACTCTGACTTCCGGCGATGTTACAGCCTCACTGAGCCAGTAACCGGGTTCTTTTCATGTCAAACTGTATACGGGGCCTTAAGTGCCTCTTCTTAAACGAGCCCACCCCGAGTCATATATCAAATTATTATTATATTATATGTAAATTATTAACAACTGTCAGTAATAATCAATCTAAAGGGAACGGTGATAAACAACACTAAACAGAACCAACACCATGTGTACTTCTTAAGTATATATACACACATATATACACGATATAACCCTGCAGGTGTTAGAACACTATAACAGAAGGTCTGCGATCTACTAACCCGGTGAGTCTACTTCTATCTTCTATGGTACACCGCTGAAGGTTCCCTCCCTGAGTCTGTCTGCTATGGTCCTCACGCCAGCGAGGTCACCGTTCTCAGTAACTCATGGGTCAGTCCTACACAGTATCGTCACAGTGCCCGAAATACCACTCCTACTCTTCTACACGCTGTCTCCAGCAAGGTGTGAGAGAGAGAGGGAGTTGGGGCTGCATCTGCAATGTAGCCCCTATCATAAACTTAGGAATGAACATCTTGATCGATTGGTTATCATCTGTTATCTAGCATGAGATACATTTAGATATCGATAACAAGATCTTGGATGAGATGAATGTACCTGCTTCGGGCGTCGCCTGCACCAGGGTTCAGGATTCATCAGGCATTCATGCAACCACTTTTGAAACCTGTACATCTTTCCCTTCCTCATGGCAACAATATTTACATTCAATAAACAGTTTACGAGCCTCGAAACTTCCCAACTCCAGATTATTCTCGTTATAACCAACCTCGGAAGAGTGATCGACGCCCACTGGATCACTCGATCCAACTGGATCGAGTGATCCAGTGCTCTCACAGCCGTTCAATAAATGTCACCGTGATTTACAAAACACGTACAGGTTTCGAATGCGGTTAGGTCAATGCTTGAAGAATCGGAGAGGAAGCAATATTTTCACAGCACACTCTCTTGTCACCTGTATCTCAAAGTACTTACTCTCTTGTTTATTCTAGCAGAGTCCCCCCCCCCCCACCACCCACCCCACCCACCTTTTTCATGCAACACGACCCATACAAAGATTAATAAAACGGTTAAGATCAAAGCTTCGGAAACTGGGAGAGTAATCACAGTTGACATTTAAGCTTACAGATAACGCGGAGAAAAGAACAAATCCACAAGGGCCGTGACGAGGATTCGAACCTACGTCCCAGAGCATCCCAGACGCCGCGTTAATCAACTGAGCTACGACATGGTAAAATAATAGCAACCAGTAGTTCTACTGAACTTACTTGGATCCTGCAGCTTCTCCGAGACACAAACCAGGATTTGGCACAATTCAAGTCAGTTCAGTAGAACTTCTGGATGCAATTCTTTTTACCATGTCGTAGCTCAGTCGATTAAGGCAGCGTCTGGGACGCTCTCGGACGCAGGTTCGAATCCTCGTCACGGCCCTTGTGGATTTGTTCATTTGATGCATCACGCTATTGTGATTTCTGTGTGTAGCCGAGAAAAGATATATTTTGTAACACGTGCTAGAGAGATGTTTATAAACAGCACCAGGAAGAATTGATAAAGAGTTTATCATTATTTTTCGGACTTTGAAAAGAACGGGAAGTGTAGACTCCTCCTGTGAGAATTGCTAAACAGCTCTGTGTCAGCGGCCACCACCGTACTCTCTCCTGCTCGAACTGCCTGACAGCTCGGTATAAGAGGCTTCCACAACACTCTCCTGAACTGCTTAACACCACGGTGTAAGCGGCTACCACTGTGCTCTCTCCTGACACACACTGTCATAAATTATATTGAAATATGGCGTGAGTGTTGAGTGCTTTCACAGGTGGTGTTGAGTGATCCAGTACTCTCACAGGTGGTGTTGAGTGATCCAGTGCTCTCACAGCTGGTGCTGAGTGATCCAGTGCTCTCACAGCTGGTGCTGAGTGATCCAGTACTCTCACAGCTGGTGCTGAGTGATCCAGTACTCTCACAGCTGGTGCTGAGTGATCCAGTACTCTCACAGCTGGTGCTGAGTGATCCAGTACTCTCACAGCTGGTGCTGAGTGATCCAGTACTCTCACAGCTGGTGCTGAGTGATCCGGTACTCTCACAGCTGGTGCTGAGTGATCCAGTGCTCTCACAGCTGGTGCTGAGTGATCCAGTACTCTCACAGCTGGTGCTGAGTGATCCAGTACTATCACAGCTGGTGCTGAGTGATCCAGTGCTCTCACAGCTGGTGCTGAGTGATCCAGTGCTCTCACAGCTGGTGCTGAGTGATCCAGTGCTCTCACAGCTGGTGCTGAGTGATCCAGTGCTCTCACAGCTGGTGCTGAGTGATCCAGTGCTCTCACAGCTAGTGCTGAGTGATCCAGTGCTCTCACAGCTGGTGTGACAGGTGGTGTGGCTCATCACGCCACACCTTCACACCAGCTTGTGTCATACTGATACTAATATAACACAAGCATACAGCATATCCCGCCAGCACTAGTGAGAACAGCATGCAACACACTCGGTAAGCATTCCCCTTCGTCCCGTATAGGGAATTGTAATCTCAAACGTGCGCTAAAACTTTATTTAGTACCGAAGCCAGGCTTAAATAACAACGAGTTTAATCAAGAAGATGCAGGAGCACACAGACAAATATAAGGAGATAATCAGAAAAGTCTATATAATGACTATAGATCCAAAGCAAAGAAACATTGAGCCTACTAAATGCAATAGTCATATATGAAAGAATCGACAGTGTACGTCTAAGGGATTCGACTACGCAAAAGCCATTCCTGTGTCAACCATGTCTGCGTCAGTCATGCCTGCGTCAGCCACACTTGCGTCGGCCATACTTGCGTCAGCCACACTTGCGTCAGCCACACTTGCGTCAGCCACACTTGCGTCAGCCACACTTGCGTCAGCCACACTTGCGTCGGCCACACTTGCGTCAGCCACACTTGCGTCGGCCATACTTGCGTCAGCCACACTTGCGTCAGCCAAACGCCTTTCGCACCATTCAGCATCCCAATACACCCACCTCACCACAGCACTGAAAACTATATAGCCACACCATCTACCCTCGTCCCTTAGCAGAGACATTCATCCACCCAGTTCCACACCACAGACACACACACAGAGGAACACACCCACAGACACAGACAGGAACACACCCAGACACAGCACCCGAGAGCCACAGAGCCCACAGAAGCCCTCAGCGACGTCTTGAAGAGAGGAATGTACTGGAGGCGGCCGGGCCGGGGCGCTGGGAAAGCATCAAGACATCTTTAAGGTTGGGTTGAACCTGCAGTCTTCACACTGCAGGTGCCGGCATGAGGCGAGGGTCATGCCGGCCTTGTAGAGGAGGAGTAGTAGATGAAGGAGTAGATTTAGAAGTATATGTAGTAGGAGAATAGTAGATGCAATATATGTAATGGTAGATGAAGCTGTAATAGTATTAATGATTTATTATATATTTGTTAACATAACCAGTCGAACTCGCTCCCCTCTTCATTATAGCTTCAAAATATAATGACCAAAACAGTGATTGTATCGAAATCAATTATCGACATAAAATCAGATAATGGTGATGGTGTTAATGCATCGTCTAAATGCAGGGTCAATGGCTTTGGAAATGTTTCTATTGAAGGTGCTAGTCTCGATGATGCCTTCACGGCTCCTGAACAAGGTTTCCTTCAAGATGCTCCCACTGCCTCTCAAGGTGATCTTCTTGAGGATGCTTACACAGCTCGTCTGACAATCTCCTTTTACTGTATGATGATGCCCGTTAGTCTAACATAGGACTCGAGTAGTTTCTTTAGGCCAGCGATGCCATTATAGGTTCTGTGCTAGTGCTTGTGTTGAAATTTGGACTTTCTAGATGTTACAAATGTTACAAATGTTCCAATATTCTAAAATCTTTATCAGGTCTCATTATGTAGTTTATTGCTTCCTTTCCATCTTTTCTAATAATCTGACAATTCTATTTATTGCATCTGGTCGAAAAACTGCAACAGTGGCTTGATGAGGATTTTATCCCCTTCTTTCAGTATCTGGAGGGATATCTTGTAAGGTTAAGTAGTCATTAGTACACCCTTAACCACTTGGGCTGGACGGTAGAACGACAGTCTCGCTTCATGCAGGTAGGCGTTCAATCCCCGACCGTCCAAGTGGTTGGGCATCATTCCTTCTCCCCGTCCCATCCCAAATCCTTATCCTGACCCCTTCCCAGTGCTATATAGTCGTCATGGCTTGGCGCTTTCTCCCTGATAGTTCCCTTCTCTTTAGTACACCCAACGCTTCCGAAAGGCTCATTATGCCGCCACCCCTGCTTGTTAGTTCAGGGAATACTAACTGCCTGATTCAACCTTCTTGTACCAACCTCAGGTACAGCTTCTCGCTCAGGTATAAAGACGTTAATGTGACCTGAAAGTGGAGCTCTTCATTCATTTCTCGATCGTTTACCGTAAGGCTCCGGTCATTCCTCAACCGGCGTCTTCCTCTCCTTCTGACAGTAATTTACTGTATATTTACATAGCTGTTATCTGGTTTATGAGTCCTCATTTTTTAGTTACACATTCTACATTTACTGAAATAAGGCATTATTGCCCGCAAGACCATATATTAACATCCTTGTGATAAATTATATATTCCCGCCGGCCAAAACCTTGTTATCCACGCCACAGATAAAGGTGAGAATGGCACCGTGGACTGTTCTTAAATCAATATATTTCCTCACTACCCTAAAGCCAAGAAAAGTTTCAACTGTATGTGCTCCTCTCACTCTTGAAGTATAGTTGGCTTCCTTCTCGACTCACAACCGGGGATTCCGGGTTCGATTCCCGGGCGGGATAAAAATGGTTGGGAACGTCTTCTTTCACCTAATGCATCTGTTCACCTAGTAATAAACAGATACCAGGGAATTAGGCATTTGTTGTGGGGGTTATATCTTGGGGAGGGTCGAATGTTCCAGCTTTGCCACACAGATGGTTTGTCATACAGATGGTTTGCCACACAGATGGTTTGCCACACAGATGGTTTGTCACACAGATGGTTTGCCACACAGATGGTTTGTCACACACAGATGGCGTGTGAGCACCAGCTTTACGCTGGCAAACTTTTTAATAATGTATTTTTAAGAGAAGAAAGGAAATTATGGTTGCATTATGAGGATATCCCTAAGAACACCGGAGTGGATAAAGTAATTACAAAGCTCTAGGTACCTCATACCAGCAGGTGTGAAGGGTCTATAATGACTGGAGTATCAATAATGTTGAGAGATCATCATGACCCAGTTCCTGTTCACAGATCATGCACGCGGCGGGACTGTAGGAGTCATCACCTGCAGCTTGCCTCCTCCCACAGGAACAGAATACCTTATTTTTTTTTAAACCATTTACGACGTTTTCGGAAAAGCAGGCGAGGAGTCACAATAACGTGGCGGAAGTATGTTGACCAATCCACACACTAGAAAATGAAACGACGACGTTTCGGTCCATCCTAGACCATTCTCAAGTCAATTTTCTGAAAAAAACTATCTTG